CATCGGCAGGTGGACTCTCAACCACTGCGCCACCAGGGAAGCCCAAGATAGTTAGCTTTCTTCCCCCCCCTGCAGGGGGACGGCAGGAGGGCAAAAAAAAAAAAAAATCGGATACTTACCTTTATTTTTTTAAATAAATTTTTGTTTATTTTATTTATTTATTTTTGACTGCGTTGGTTCTTCGTTGCTGCGCAGGGGCTTTCTCTAGTTGCGGTGAGCGGGGGCTACTCTTCGTTGCGGTGCACGGGCTTCTCATTGTGGTGGCTTCTCGTTGCAGAGCACGGGCTCTAGGCGCGTGGGCTTCAGTAGTTGTGGCACGAGGGCTCAGTAGTGGGCTTAGTTGCTCTGCGGCATGTGGGACCTTCCTGGACCAGGGCTCGAACCTGTGTCCCCTGCCTTGGTAGGTGGATCTTAACCACTGCGCCACCAGGGAAACCCCTGATAACTTATCTTTAAAAAAAAAAAAAAGGATACAGCATCATATGAGCCAATCAATAGAAGGTAAAAATGCATTGATTAAACCTAGAAGCCATTTGTTATAAAAACCCCCAGCAAAAGAAGAATAAAAGGAATAGTGTATTGTTTACCAAAAACCCACAGCAAGTACTATCCTAAATGGAAAAACACTAAAACCATTGCAGTTAAAACCAGGAAGTAGGTAGGGATACCCACTATTGACATTATTATTTAACATTACTTGGGAAGTTTTAGTTAATGCACTAATACATACACAAACAAAAGGAAGTAACTGATATGAACACTGGAAAGTGATAGGACTATCTCTTTTTGCCATTGATATGAGTGTAGACCTAGAAAACCTAAGGGATGCCAGTAAACAAAACAAAACAAAACTAACATTAATGAGATAATTTGTTAGGATGCCTGGATGCAAGATGCGTACACCAAAATCAATAGCTTTATTCTCCAGCTAAGCACTTAGGGAAAAAAATGGGAGAAATATCCCTTTTACAATAGCACAAGCTGTAAAAGGCTTAGGAATAAGTTTAACTTATTTCAGGAAGTTAACTTTAAGAAAGCCATAGGAATTATATATAGAAGACTATAAAACTATATTGGAGAACAGAAAACAAGATCTGAACAAGTGGAAAAATTATCATGCTATGGGGTAAGAAGACAGTACATATAATTGTCAAATCTACCAGATTAATGTATACATTTATTGTTAATTTAGTTATAATGCCAACAGGGTCTTTTTATTTTTAAAAATTATTTATTTATTTTTATTTTTGGCTGCCTTGGGTCTTTGTTGCTGTGCGCGGGCTTTTCTGTAGTTGCTGCGATCAGGGGCTACTCTTTGTTGCAGTGCACGGGCTTCTTATTGCGGTGGCTTCTCTGGTTGCAGAGCACGGGCTCTAGGCGCCCGGGCTTCAGTAGTTGTGGCTCGCGGGCTCAGTAGCTGTGGCTCACGGGCTCTAGAACGCAGGGTCAGTAGTTGTGGCGCACGGGCTTAGTTGCTCTGTGGCATGTGGGATTGTCCCTGAGTGGGGCTCGAACCCGTGTCTCTTGCATTGGCAGGGAGACTTTTTTTTTTTTTTTTACTGTTGTGGCCTCTCCCGTTGCAGCTCACAGGCTCCGGACCCGCAGGCTCAGCTGCCATGTGGCTCACAGGCCCAGCCGCTCTGCGGGCATGTGGGATCTTCCTGGACCGGGGCACGAACCCGTGTCCCCTGCATCGGCAGGTGGACTCTCAACCACTGTGCCACCAGGGAAGCCCGGGTCTTTTTATACATTTATTTATTTATTTTTGGCTGCATTGGGTCTTCGTTGCTGCACGGGCTTTCTCTAGTTGCGGTGAGTGGGGGCTACTCTATGTTGCGGTACGTGGGCTTCTCATTGCGGTGGCTTCACGTTGTGGAGCACAGGCTCTAGAGTGCAGGCTCAGTAGTTGTGTCACATGGGCTTAGTTGCTCCGTGGCATGTGGGATCTTCCCAGACCAGGGCTCGAACCCGTGTCCCCTGCATTGGCAGGCAGATTCTAACCATTGGGCCACCAGGGAATTCCCCCGGGTCTTTTAAAATTGTATAAAATCTTAGAGTATGTGGAAGAATAAATTCCCCCAAATGGCCAAGAAATATATGAAAAACAATAGTAAGGAAGACATATTACCAGATGTCAGAAAATATTGTAATGTTGATAAAATGACAATATAGTACTTACTTCTGAGGTGTTCCATAGAAATAAAAAACACAAATATGTAAGAACAGACAGAGAGAAATGTTTATTGCAGCATTGATCACAGTGCCAAAAATCTAGAAACAAAATAGATCCCAACACTAGGGGAATGGCTGAATAAATGATGGATACTCTGCATCCATTTGAAAAATGACCAAGAGTTAAAGCAGTTGTCACAGAGGGATTTACATGAAACATTTGTTTAATTAGAGAAACATTGTGGTAAAATAATGACAAAACATCCCCATACACATATACATGACTACACCCACACACATACACATACATACACATATGAGTTACATGAGCATAGAAAAAGATATGGAATCTTTTTATATATATCATTATCTTTATATGTAAGTTGTTTGGGGTTATCTGGAAGAGGGTGATGTCATGGGAGGTAAGGAACAATAAAAAAGGAAAAGAGAAAAAAAGTATAACTTTTAAGCACTTTATATGTAGAGCTATGTAAAAGAAATTAAATAAGCCTTTAAAATGAAGAAAAAAAATTGAGGAATGTTGAATGGTCCCACTGAACCATATTTCCCTGTAATCACAGCCTATGGGTAGTCCCCTCGCACACTGATTTGGGTTTGACCGTGTGACTTGCTTTGCTTTGGCCAATGGAACAATGAAAAGTGCTTATAGGGAATTCCCCAGCGGTTGGGGAACTAAGATCCTGCAAGCCACGCAGGGCGACCAAAAAAAAAAAGGTGGGGAGGCGCTTATATGTTGAACTTGCCCGCTCTTGCTACTGGAAGCGTTTTCACTGTCATGTGAAGAAGCTTCTTGAGCTACTCTACCAGAGCATGAGACTTCATGGAGCAGAGACAAGCTGTCTGAACTGAGCTCTCCCGGACCAAATAGCCCCAGATGATTTGCCAGTTGACTGAACCTACATGAATGACCTACCGTGAGATCAGCAGAGGAACTTCCT